TATGCACCCCTCATTGCAACCTAATGTGTCACAGTTATCAATCTATGGGTTTCGACTGGATTTATTTTTTTAATATTCCCATATGCATTTAAGGTCTTTAGGCACAATGAAGACCAACCCCAAGACCTTCCACGTGACGTACCACTGTGCTACATCCTTAGTTCTTGGAGACAGTCTCACTGTGTAACCCATTCTTGTCTCTACGCATGACCCTCATCCTTCTGCTTCCTGCATGTTGAGATTACAGCATGCGCTATCCTGTCTGAGCCAAAACTCCCCATTCCTAAGAACCCAACGCAAAAGTGGTACCTGAACAGTAAGTTTGGAAGGGAAACAAGGTGTGTGACTTGTTCACTTGAACTTCTGTTTGGCTATGGTGATCATCACAAAGTCCCCTGTCAGCCAGCAATGCTGATAAAGTCCATTCTGGGTTACCCAGCCCTTAGTAGATTCTATACATTAAAAAAAATAATAATCGGTTCTTCACGTGTCTGAAAGGGAGTTCAATTCCCATGCAAGCTCTTACTGTGTGGTGTGGCTGATTTGCAGATAGTTAAGAAGAAAGCAGGAGTGTCTCCACAGTAAGCAGCTGTCATGCCTCATTTCCCTGTCTGGGAGACGCTAAACACTGCGTGCACTATAATTTCTCGCTAATTAGCACATTTCTAAACAGGCATCTTAGCTGCTAACCCTCAGTGTGGCCCCAAAACTTGTGTGGCCACATAATTGTTTTAAAACTTTAGGGAGACCATTGTGTAAAACGCCAAGGGGAAGCGATTTCGGTGTCTCGGTTGATTTACACTTATGTTTTGAGACTAACATTAATTAAAGTGTCAAAATGTCTATAATCTTTTATGTCGGGTTTTTTTTTTCCTTTTGAAGTTTGGTTTCTCCAATTCCTCTTCTCATCTAAGGCAGTCTTGGGCTTGATTACTGTAATTCCTTCTATGCTGCTATTCTTAAAGGTCTAATTAAGGGAGCGCTGGGGCTCAAAGAGCGGTGTGCACATCCAGCTAGAACAGTGATGTCTGTCATTCAGATTACGCTCCGCATTGATTATATGTGTGTGCTTCACACCACAGAACACCAGATTTTAAATGTCCTTATTGGCTTGCAAATGTCATTCTGAGTTTGAATGCAGAAGTGGTCTCCTGGAGTCTGGGTGTAGATTGATTGTGGAATATACTTGGAAAGCTAGGACCTGTCGCCGTCATAAGGAAAAGAGAATGGGGGCATTTGTTCCACATCATTCAAATTAACTTCTTTTCAATAAAGGGGGTTGACTCGCCTCTCCTCTCAGACGTTGGCTAGTCCAATATGAAAGTAGGCTTGTAAGCTCATGTCCCACATGGAGTCACACTGTGTGCATAGGGATTCCATGTGGAGTCATACTATGTGTGCTGGTATCCCTAATGGAGTCACACTGCATGCGTGTTAGCATCCCAAGTGGAGCCATGTTGGTGTGAGATTATCCCCAGTGCTGTGAGTGGAGAGGGTGGGCGTTCTTCTGGAGCTACATTAGGGGGCAGGGTGTTTGGAGGTATCTCATTAGTAGCATGGATAGAATTTTCTTTCTCATGATTGAATTTCATAAATACGCATGCAGCAACTTGGTAGCAATCTCTGAAAAAGTAAAGGATCTGGACCAAGCTCCATGTTGCCGTGGTATTTATTCTTCCTGCTTGCTGAGGGTGGGGATCATGAGAGACATTAGGTGACCATGGCATAACGACCACTCGTCTGGGTGCTTAGCAGTAACATAGACAAGCACAGAGAGATGGACTGGGATAGTTTCTCCAGGGCCACAAGAGCACATCATCTCAGGTCCGTGGGAAGGATGATACAGCTATTCCTCGTAGCACCAGCAGGGAGGTGCATGAAGCCTCGCTGAGGATGGAGTGTGCGCACAGCATGCTTCAGGGATGGCTCAGCTTTGGTCCAACGGTCATAACTTGTCTTTCATGCTGATTCTACCCTGAGGTGAGTTTCAGATACTGAACAATGTCATTTTCAAAATGCTAAACAATTACAATAATCAATCCAAGACATCAAAATCACAAACATATTAGACTGTATCAAAGCTAAAGTCCGAAGCACTGCCAGGGGCACGGGCCCTACAAAAATGTTTCCTGAAACCAACAGCCGACAGCACGAGACTCCCACATGTGATGGCTTCGGCATTTATTTCTGGACCTGTTGTATAAGCCGGAAAGATTCTGGCATCTCCAGGCCCTTCACATGGGCCCATGGATGACACGGGGATGATACCTGTGGTCACAGGTGGGTTGCAGAACTACACAGGTGTGGACTGAGTGTGGAAATTAGTGATTGTGTGGTTTTGCTGCAGTGCAGTTGACTTCCTTGCTATTAAAAATGCATGCATTTGCATTTACTTTCAAAAAGGTTTCATAGGAGAGTATGGTAGCTGTGTGCTCTAGGTAAGCACTGCGTGCTTCACTGCTGCAGTAAGAAGGATCTCCCTTCAAATTTTCTGACTGTAACCAGGCAAGGATATCCCCTGAGTCTGCATTCCTAGCCCCAGGTAGACATTATCTCTGCCCCTCCACACGGGCCTTTTGTCCCAGCCTGAGCCAGGGACACACAGCCTGGCAGTGCACAGACACAGCTCCGAAAGCTGCCAAGCTATTTTCTTCCTTGTCACTCAAGAAATGTCACAGCTCCTGCCTCCCTGGTAGAGCTTAGCAAGCCCTTCTCTGGGCTTGGCAGGGAGAGGTGCCTGCTAATTCATTAGCCCCATAAGCTATGTGGCTCCTATTCTACAAAGACCAGGTTCGAGGTTCCTATCTTTATAGCAAATGGGTCACCAGTGGAAGGCATGTGTTTGGTTTCTCTGGGCTCTCTGAGGTCAGTCCTTAGAGTTCCCATAACTATGCTGCTGGTTTGTTAAAGGGCCATGAAGCAACTGAGTTTGCGTGGTTAGATTTTCCAGTGTCAGTTTTTCCTTAAACACGCTCAATGGATTCTGCGTTGTGAACCGGGGTATAGGATGCTTTCTTGGATAGGTATAAAGCTAGCCTCTCTACCCTGATCTGTTTCCTAGCTGAACCTTGCCTTTTCCAGGAATCTCACGTGGGAACTTGTGGTGTTTTTTTTCCATTGTCCCCCCAAACCTGTTCCGAAGGAGCTTTAAAATGGTTAGGCCTTTACCTTCATTATCTGAGCGGCGCAAACCAATTCTCAAAATCTTTATAGACAAAAAGAAAAAATCACCTTTGGCGGCATGTGGCTTTGCTCTGTGTCCCCACGCTGAGTGCACAGCACTCCTCTTTTAGAATTAAGCCCCGGGATCCCTATGGTTTTCTGCTTGGTGACTTTGGCTGCACTGCGAGGATATTGCGTCTCCAGCAAATATGTGCTGAAATTCTGTTCCATCCATGGGCCATAGAGGGAATCAAGGTCAGTCGTCCCCAGCCAAGAAAGAGCCCAGACCCCAACAAATGTTTATCAGCAAAGAAGATGAGTGGGGTTGCTGGACCTTGGTGGAGGGATTCAGGAAAGATCTGGGGAGACAGCATTGTCAGAAGCAGGGCAGAGGCAGGGGAAAGGCAAAGGAAATATTCTACTGAGAATGTGTAGAATGGGAAGACATCTTAGGTGGGGCTGGGAGGCGGGGCTGGGAGGCGGGGCTGGGAGGCGGGGCTGGGAGGCGGGGCTGGGACGTGGGGCTGGGAGGCGGGGCTGGGACGTGGGGCAAGGAGCTCCCAAGATGGGTGGGGTAGGATGTGGAACAGGACAGTGTGGTTCAAGAGCCTGAACATCCCATCCAGCACAGGAACCTAGTCACATGGACCTCAGCCTCTGGGAGCAGAGAAATGAGGGAAAAAGAGACACCCAGATGCCTCCATTAGTCCACACATCAGAACCAGTTTAGTATGAGGCAAGGGAGAGCTGGGATTCCAAGAGACATCTAGAAAATCTCCAAGGGTATGCCATCCCTTGGGGTGAATGGAATCGCAGAAAATGGCCCTGCAGGCAATAGCATGGGCTTCCCAAGTCTGGGAACCTGGGGTTGAGGGAGTGGAGGGTGAGTCAATCTTAGGGTATTTCTGAAAGGTGGCAGGGATGATGTCAGCATGGATGGACAAGACTCCTTCTGTGTACATATCCGAATCTGAAAATGGTACCCAAAATGTTTGCGCGTTTACTAATGCTCCTTAAGAGAGGGGTCCATGCTATCAAGAGATCTTTGGAGAAAAGAAAAGGGACTTCAGGTGTTTGCTCTGGGGCAGACAAGGCTCAGCCTGAACACCTGTCTCTCTACCAGTTTCCCTCCTGACTCTTCCACCACGCTCTTTTTAAGATTTCAGACCTCCCGCTCACCAGCTTGAGCCCCCCCCTCACCAGCTTGAGCCCCCTGCCGTGACGAGCTCGCCCATTTCATTTGTCGGGGCTAAATAGCAACTCGTTATAAAGATTTTGGTTGTTTTGTTTCGTTTTAGAAAACGCAGTCAGGAGAGAGCACTGCAAATATTGTCACTCAACAACAAGCTTGACTGGCACTGGCTTCTCACACCAGTGATTCCCTGTGTGGGCACTGCATTTTTTGACTCTGATTTGGGGCCCTGCCTGCTTCCCTGGTGTGGTAAAAGGGGGTTTAGCACAACACCATGATGTCTGTGAAATCAGCAGTGTAGAGTGTTCTGTCCTGCACACACACATAGACAAATACACACACACACACATATATATAGAGAGAGAGAGAGAGAGAGAGAGAGAGAGAGAGAGAGAGAGAGAGAGAGAGAGAGATTTCTAACTTGTGTTGCTGGGTACCTAGGTCCTTTTATAATGTCTTCTGTTGTTACACACACACACACACACACACACACGGATATCTTTAAGCCCAGCCTTGGAAAGCCTGACTTTCTAAGGTCAGATGTCCAGAAACAGACAGGCTGGACTGTGAGACGCGCGTATGTCAGAGATGTAGGCTGGCTTCATGGAGGAATTCAGCTGGCTGACTGAGCCTTCTTCTCTCGTAGCCGTCTCCTACACGAATTACAAGAAGACGCCTCCCCCGGTGCCTCCGCGGACCACCTCCAAGCCTCTGATTTCAGTGACTGCCCAGAGTAGCACGGAATCGACACAGGACGCCTACCAGGACAGCCGGGCCCAGAGGATGTCCCCGTGGACTCAAGATAGCCGTGGCCTCTACAACTCCATGGACAGTCTGGACAGCAACAAGGCCATGAATCTGGCTCTGGAAACAGCTGCGGCTCAGCGCCATGCCACTGAGGCACAGAGTGGCTCCACGAGGACCAGTGACAAGGCCATCCTGGTGTCCAAGGCTGAGGAGCTCCTCAAGAGCCGCTGCTCCTCCATCGGGGTCCAGGTAGTCTCCCCTGAACACCCTCTCTGGCGACGGTGTAGGCTGAGTCAAAATTCAAGTCACAGCCCCTAAAAACAGAAGTGGGACAGTACGGCTGAGAGGCCGCTTGTGCCTGCTGCAGCATGACAGACCCCAGAGCAGAGCCCACAGAGATGAGACGAGACTCGTGTACTGCCCAGAAACCTAGGGACACCCCACACACAGAGGTGTGGTCCTCGGGGCCGACCGCTAGGTAGATGATTTGGATAGATTATGCAGAGACCTTTAAAGGGGCTGAGGGGATCCGTCACAATGACTTGTTGTAACGTCTCAGTCCTCAAGGAGTGTGGGGAACAAAGGGGCAAACAGAGCCAAGCACTGTGGTGTGAGCTAAGGGTGTGGCCAGCGGGGGCCGTGTGCAGCGGGGCCCTTTCCCACACGACCTTCTGTCCCAGAGACCTCTGCATAGAAGAGCGGCACCCTGTTATTGCAGACCTTGCAGGGGCGCCCCACCATCCCATGAGGCCTGCCAACCTGGCTGTCCCGGCCACTCCTCAGCTGACCCAGGGGGCCTTGCTTGGGTTTTAGCGAAGCACCCAATACACAATAGGAGCCCTGTCTCACAGGCGGTCTCAAGTGACCTCCTCCAAGCCCTCGTGGACATGATTGCATGGGCCAAGCTTTGCTGACGCCATTTGCCTCTTGCTTTTTACACCTCTGCTCAGCCTGTGTCTGGCAGGCTTTAAAATCATGATTAATCACACACACACACACACACACACACACACACACATATTCTGCAAGGACGAGGTACACAGAGGTGGAAGTGACGGCCCCATACAGGACTGGGGCTGGGAGGGGCAGGACCAGGGGGGTGTCAGCCCACCTGCCTGGATCCTTGAGCCAGGTCTCCACACTGTGGCTTCATTGTTTTGTTTAGGATTCTGAATTCCCTGATCATCAACCCTACCCAAGGTCAGATGTAAGTATGCAACATCTCCAAATCCAAGTTCGCATGAAGTGTTTTTTTTTTTCCTCTCTCTCTCTCTCTTCTTTGGATTCTTCATATGACTGCTCTTGTCACCTCTCTGTCCTGGCTCTATGTGCCAGGAACTCTGCTGGGTGCTTCACACGGTTGCACAGAACCCTTGCCGACCCTTAGGAATAACTCAGCCCCGACCCTACATAACTAGCAAGCCTGAGGGGTCCTAGAAACCGGAGGAGTGTGGGACATCCGCCGTTTCTCTGTCCATAGGCCCATCTGTAGCACAGCCAGAGTTCTCCAAAGACACCAGGGCACATTCCCTACCAGGTCTTCAAACTACCCCCTGGGGTTCTTGGCCACAGTTGTCCATCCGTGGTCCACCCTAGGACTGAGGAGGAAGGCTCACCTCTGAGCAGCTAAAAGGGGTGGGTGCCATTTCAGGAGCTCATAGAGATGGACACCATGCTCCAAATGAGACACAGACTTCCTGGTGCTCCTCATAGCTGGGCCCACACCCGAGCTCACACACAGGGGTTCCTCCTCGCAGCTGGACCCCGCATACCTCTGGCTGAGTCTCTGCCTCTGTGAATGTTTCCAGGCACCATCCTCTCCCACTGTGTTCTATGGAGGCTGGGCCCGTGCCTCCTGCCTCTTGGTACCCCAGCACCTAGCACAGTGCCTGGCACATAGCGAGCTCTCAGTTCCTTGTTGGGTTTGGAATGGATGTCCGTTTTTGGTGGGTGGATGCTCAGTGGAGACACGTGTGAGCTCCGTGACACCGGTTGGTAAACTCGCTCAACTTCTTTTCTCAGTGGAGAAAGAAAAGGAATCCCGTGAACCTGGATCTTCATAAGTGTCTAGATAAAAATCAGTTGAAAAGCAGAACTCAAAACAGAGTAGAAGAGACACAAATGTCAGGGTAACAAGGAGACGTGGCCAGGTCCCAGCTCCACCAGTAAGAGGAGAGACTCAGAGAAGCAGCCTTTCAAAGTGAAAGACCATTCATAGACACCCAGGTCCTAGAGACCAGCTGATGCTCTGGAGACATGAAGCAGATATAAACAAGTAAATAAGATTACGCTGTGTCCCTGCTCCTAGCTCTCCAACATAGCCTCCCTTAACCCTTACTAGTGACCCTATGGACCAAGTGTCATTATTCCCAACCAATGGAGGGGACACAGCTGAGCAGGGAGGGTCAGTGCCTTGCCTGAGAGCACACGGCTTTGAGTGCCACCATAATGGATGAAGCCCAGGGAGTTGCCTCCCACATCCCTGACAGAGCTATGCTGCCTGGAGAATCGAAAGCACATCGGAAAGCAGTGCTGTACCAAAGGAGCCTGCCTTAGCATTCTTCATGTACCCTGCTGGGATTACCCAACCCGCCTGACCCAGGAACAGCCTTACTCTGCCCTTGGCTTATCGGAAAGGGCCATCAACATGGCATCCAGCTCTGAAGGGCACTGCTTCCTGCCTGTCCTAAACCCCTGCCCAATTACCCAGAGTCTTAGGGTTTTATTGCTGTGAAGAGACACCATGATCACAGCAACTCTTAATAAGAAAACGTTTAGTTGGGGTGACACCCTTATAGTTCAGAGGTTCAATTCATTATCATCATGGCGGGGAGCATGGTGGCCATGCAGGCAGACATGGTGCTGGAGCCGAGAGTGCTACATCTTGACTCAGAGGCAACAGGAAGTCAGGAAATCGACTGACTGTCACACTGAGTGACACTTGAGAAGATACCTCAAAGCCCGCCCCACAGTGAGACACTGCCTCCAACAAGGCCACATTTCCTGATAGTGCCACTTCCTTCAGAGGTCATTTTCTCTCAAACCACCACACCCAGAACCTTCCTTTCCTAGGGAAACTTGGGTAGAGCCCAAGAATGCACACAGTGTCCGATTGGTATAATGTTGCCTTCTGATGAACGTGTTGGCCCATTGGTTCCTGGTCTACAGGTATCACCTGACCCTATACGGTTAAAACTAAGTTCCAAGGGCCTGGAGAGATGACTCCGTGGTTCAGAGCACGCACTGCTCTTGTGGAGGATAGGATCACATTGGACAACTCACAGTAGCCTAGAGCAGCTCCGAGAGCCAACACCTCTGGCCCCCACAGGCACTGTACTCATGCACACACATGCACACAATTAAAAATAAAGGAACAGGGTCACAATGGAGCCTTCTGGGCTCTGCTCTTCACGTGGCTGCGCCTGTCACCCTGTCCTCCCACTCAGCATAGACTGAACATGTACTCCACACCCCCTGTGCCTTAGATGGCTGGACCCTACAGGGTGAATTCAGCCCCGCATGGCATCAGTTCTTGAGAGCTCTGGATTTAGCCCAGTCCTGGGCTGAGAAGAGGCTGTTCCTCTGAAAAGTCCTCACAGGTCACTGGGCCGCTCGAGCAGTCTGTCATCTGACTCCCTCATTCACCATGGCAGGCCTACTTAACCCTTTCCTGTTTGTTTGTTTGGTTTGGTTTGGTTTTGGTTTTTGGTTTTATCCATTTAACAGAGTGTCTGTTGTGGCAAGGTCTTCATTTTGTGTGGCCATGTGGGCTTGTGAAACTGCCTTGGTAGAAGGCAGGAAGTCTTTGTCCCGTGGACTTGGGCATCCCTCTGATATGGGGACAGTCATCACAAGGTCGTTCCCAAGCTGTCACAATGAGCAGCACCTCGGGAAGCCTTGTGACAGTTTCTGGTGAGGGTCCTACTGACTATGTATACCCTGTATTCAGTACATGGCATGTCTGTATGTGCGCACGCATGTGCACACTCACACACACTGCTCCCACCGCTGTTATGTTGGAACCCCCAGGCTCCTCAATAAGACATTCTGCTTCTCTCCTGGACTTAGGCTGGGCCCCTGAAGGAAACAGTGAGTTTAATCTCAAAAGCAATACATCTGCCTTGCTCCAAGGAAGGCTTACAAGAGCGAGCCCAAGGAGCTTGTTTGTTTGGAGAGCAAAGATTGCAGATGGAAGCTCAGGTGTACTCCTGAGCAATCTCAATACTCTGGGCTTCCACCTCAGAATCCAGCAGCAGTTCAGGTTCATACTGAGGCGGCTTTGCTGAAATTTTGTGCCAACCCTGGTCTGGTGTGAGAGAAAACATGGGCACAGGAAAGAATGCCTCGACTTAGGCCCTATTACCGTCCCGCTTGGGCATGCAGACATACATGCACACACCCAGAGACACACGTAGACCATCTCCATCAAACCCATCGAATCCCCTATGTCTCATGCAGACCACATACCACAGGGTCCATGCTTACCCTATCCTCATGGCTCCAGCTCACTACTGCCCTCTGTATACAGCCCGGCAAGAGCTGGGAGTAGCCATCCCTAGGAGCATAGAGGCACCTCAGTCACCTCAGAATTACTTGCCTATGTGCGGTTCTTCGCTGTTTATTGGGGAGCCCCCACCCCCGATACAGCTTCTGCCCCCAGAGTCACTCAGAAGG